GTGACAGGATCTTAGCAGAAATAAACAGGGGGCGAGGGCTTGGAAATATGTAGAAGAAGAGAAAAGTGCTAGAAAAGAAACATGCATGTCTAAATGAGATGGAAAAAATGAATGATAATTCAGATACTGACATACTGAGCTCCTACTGGAAGCCAGTCCCTAGCAAAGAACAAAAATAACATGGAAAAAGCTGAGAAGTAAGGCAGATCTTAGTATTCATGAAGACCAGGGAAGGAAATATTTGGGAAGTCAGATCACACGCACATAAACTGAACTGGGTGTCACACATCCAGTGGCCTTTGCAAAGTACCAAGTGCTTCATGCAAGGTGCACCATGTGTTTTGTATTGCAGCTAGTCAGAAATCAATGTTTCTCTTTCCTGTGACATTCTTGTGGTGAGGACAAACAAACCAGAGCTGCTTACTTCCCTGGTCTCCATCCTAAATTCTGAGTTTCATTGGCTAAAATCCAGTCTCTGCTCCTGAACTCTTGTTGCACGGTAGGTATGCAGGGCACATCTCTTGCAGCTCCTTCTGGGCACCTCACTGCCTGGGGTCCCATCTTCAGTGCCCCATGGGGTGGGCAAATGCCCCAGTGCTTCAAGGAGACAGTCACCAGGGCCACCCAGGACACACCACCTTAGTGATGTCCTGTGGGACCATTTCAGACATAAGAGCCATTCTGGATGGAATCACTTAGTCCTCAGCAAAAAGAGAAAGTAGAAAATTCCTTTGAAGACATTTAAGTTTTCTATTTTTAGTTTCTTTTGACTCAAAACTTATTTTCCTGTTCAATGCCACTTCCAATTCCCTGCCCCCTCCCTGACCTGCTCACCTTGTAGTAACTTTAACTTCACAGAAAGCTGGTGGTGTTCAGTGCTTCACAGGACCTGGCCTCATAAAAGCCCCCCAAAACCAAAACACTCCTCAAAACACAAACCAAATGCGCTACACTGCCAACTTCCCATGAAAGAAAATAGTGGTCATGTTGGCCATGTTAGATACATGCATGGACCACATACTTGGGTTCTTGCACAGTGCTTCTCCTTGTTGTGTGCGGGCAAATAACTCTCTTCTAAGAAGACTCCCCTTCTATATGGTTTCCCTTGTATCTGATTTCACAAGGAAACTTTTGGTTGTAGTAAGGAAGACAGATGGAGAAGCCATGGCATGGTTTAGTGTGAGGTGTCCCTACCCATGGCAGGGGGCTTGGAACTAGATGACCTTAAGGTCCTTTCCAACCCTAGCTATTCTATTCTATGATTCTATTATAATCTGTTATTTTATTCTATGAGAATTACACCTAGTGGCACACTGCATTCATTTGGCAGTGCTGAGACAGGGTCTCTGGGCAAGGAGAAATACTAAATAAGGGTATGTTTTCCATGGGCAGGTTGGAGCAGTTGAGAATTTCATGTGCAAGAGAAGGTGGGAAGCACTGGGGATGGGCTCTGCTCTGCAGCTGTAATAAGCCACACTGACAGGCCCAGACACTGTGGTGAGAGGGGAAAATATGTCGAGGGAGGGCTTAGGCAAAAAAGGCTCAGCAAAGTGTTGAAAAGAGGTGGAGGAGCCAGCTGACAAGCCAAGATGAAAGGGATTAAATACACCTACCAGGACATGGTAGCAGTGTGCAAGCACATAGAGGAGCTCAGCATCGAGCAGGGAAAGGGACTGCTTTCAGTGGCAGACATGGGGAAGAGCTGGGCATGAGAGTAACGTGGCAGTGAGACAAATCAGAGTGATCTCAGTCTAATGATGGGAAAGAGCTTCCTGGCAGAACCTGCCTGTGATACAGTCCCCTGTGGGAATTGGGGAGAATGGGAGGTTGAAAAGATGCCTGGCAAATCCTGGGCTGCCCTCAGGTGTTGTCTGGGAGGTGGGTGGGTGATGACAGAGGTTTTTCCTGGTGCCAACAGCCAGGTATAGCTGGGAAAGGCAGCTCTTCCCAGGAGAAACCACACAACCTGCCCTGCCACAGAAATCCCACACGGCGTTTGGTGGGTTTTAGTACTCTGCTTCCTCTTTGGGAAGGATTGATGTTTCCTCCTTCTTCTTCAAACAGTTAGTAAATAATTAAAAGGGAGAGACAAAATATTCTCTAAAGATAACCTAGTCTTCTGTTTCCATGGCAACCTCCTTCCTAAGCCAGAAGCCTCTTGCTTGAGTCATATGGCAGGGGTCAAAGCCCTTTTGCAGGAAGGAAGGAGTGGTGTCATGACCCTGCTGGGGTACAAAGGGGAAGCATCATGCAGAGCAAAAGGACTGTCATGAACCCCAAACCATGACAGAAACAAGTAATAATAAGCTGAGAGAGCATCCATCCTTGAGGCTGTAAGTCACCCCATGAGGTCATCACTGCCATCTTTCCCACCATCTTTTGATCCTTCTTCCCTCCCAGCTGGCCAAGTGCAGGCCACAGTTCTATCATGACATCATGAGTGAGTATCAGGGTAGCTTCTAGCTCTGCACTGATCTCTGACCTTTCTCTCATTCCTCAGCTGAAATGTTTCACTGCCAGTACAACTCAGGGTCCCATCGTCACGTATCCTTGAGTGCACCTTCCAGGAAACACTGTGCATTGAGGTATTGAGGTCTCAGGTGTTTGGGTGGGTTTTAACAGTCTGGGGCTTTTTTTGGTAAGCCCTACCTGTGGCTTCAAAGCAGCTCTGAGTCTAAGCCTTGTGCTGGCCAAGTTCATTTCTCAGCCATTTGGAGACTGACTGCCCTCCTCCTGAGGACATGAAACCTTCTCTCTCCTCGCTGCTCATGGGAGATCAAGCAGAGGCAACTCACCCAAAGAACCACCAGTGCAAAGAAAAGCATTTAAAGACCCTTATTATTGCTTTAATAAATCTGGATCAGCATCCTTTCTGCAAGAACAAGGACACAGGCTCTCCTGTCCTCTCCCCAGAGACCTGACCTCACTGCAGTCAGTGTGCACACTTGCAACACAGCAAACACTCCTTCATGCACATAGATCAAGTCCACACAGTAATTATTGCTCTCCTGGCTCTTGGTCCCATTTGACACGCTCGCTGTGTACAGCCCTGGTTTGTAAGATGCAGCAGCTGGCTAGAAATCAAAAAGGTCGTAATAAAACTAGAACACGGTTTTGTACTCCTCACTTCACAACTCTTCATGTGCCAGTGGGGAATACTCTGGGAGGGCTGCAGGGGCCCTCTTGAACTGATGGAAAGAATGAGACAGGAAGCCCCAAGGGAGCTCTGCTCCTTCTCTGAGCAGTGCACCAGTTTCTGCACCTTCCTATCTCCGCTGGGCTGCTACCCTCTCTCCACTGCCCTTCTCATTCTACCTTCTCTGACATCCCTGGGGTTGTAGATGGCAACCAAAATTCTTCGTGCCCCTTGGGTAGCTGGTTTTCCTACTCACCTGCAAGCCTGGGAAGGGTATGAAACCTTGGAGCTGCTGCTGAAGTAGATCCAGGCTGGCCCTGGCCAGGAAGGAGACAAACGCAGTCACACTGCTGGAAAGGCATGGAGGGATGTAGCCTCCGGAGGCCCTGCTGCAACCACGCCAGGAGAGGACCATGTCTGCTGGAGTGAATCCTGGATCCTGAGGCAGGTCGTGGTTCAAGGAGCTGGTCTGCCCTTGCCCTCCACATCACAGCCCTCCCCACTCACACTGCCCTGCAAGGCAGAGGCAAGGAGAGCTGCAGCTTTCCCTCTCCCCATCTCTCCAGCTGGTGAGCCGGTTAGCATGTACACAACACACATACACAACCTTACATTTGTGTGCACACACACATACACACACAGGCCAATATTCCTTGTTCTCCATGTCCATGGTTGGCACTGAGCAGGACTTTGGTCCTAGCTACACTGATGCAAATCAGGAAAACACCAAAGGATGAAGGTGGTGCTGCAGAGGATGCAGAGACACCACCGAGCTGATGATGTTCTTGTAGGGTCTTTCCACTGGGACTTGAACCAGGGGTAGCCCTCAGCCAGGGGACTGACTACATTTTGTATTGTTGAAGCCCCCTTTGCTTTTATTTATATTTTTTTAAATTCTAGGTTTTGTCTTCTTTTAATATATATATATATATATAGCTATAGATACAAAAATAACAGATAGGTTTCTCTAGAGATGATTTTTGCACCTTTGGGCTTCTAAAATAAAATATCACAATTACTGCAAATGAAAGGGGGGAAAAATCAGTTTCCACTCCCTTTTTTTACTTCTCCAGTCCCTTCCACCCTTCCTCCGCTGCTCCAAATTTCCCCACATAGCTTGCAATCTTTTTTCCCTTAGAAGTTTTCTTTCTTTGGAAAACAAAAAAGAGAAAAACCAATAAAGCAACAACACAAATATTGCATGTAGCCTCCATTCCCTCCTCCCACGAGCATACCCACTGCGTTCACACATTCCCTTCAAAGCAAGGCTTTTCACCTCAAAACGTTTCCTGTGCTCCACGGCTGTTTGCTTTTCCCTGCTGCCGGGGCCAGATTTTCACCTGCTGTAAATCAGCGTGAACCCACCTCAAGCCAGAGCTCTGCTGCTTGACACCAACAGGAGCTCACAATCGCGTTTTGCCAATTTACACTCGACCTGAAGATCTGGCCCGTGGATTTTAATGTTTGAAATGGAAGCATGGACAGTGAGGAAGTTCCCAGACACAGGCAAGGCAAACTCCAGACGCTCTTCCCTTGCTGCTCCACACTGCTTCCCTTCCCTTCCCTTCGCCCCCACCCTCCCTGTTTGGCATAGCACCTCCTTCAGCCCCCATTTGCTTGTTCCTCCTTAGCACTTTCTGAAATTCATAATCTCTCAGTAAAAAAAATAAATAAATCGATCTCTCTATATATGTATATGTATATAACTGAACAGCTGCCACGCAGCAGTCACCTGGCTGGAGGGTCCTGTCCCGACCAGCCCCATGGCCTTTTCTTGTCACTATAGTCTCTGCGGTGATGGTCCAGGTCTTGCCCTCAGGCAGGACTGTTCCCGTATTGCTTGCACTCTCCCACGCCTCTGAGGTACGGTACCAGAGTATTTATTCTATATATATATATATTTATGTATATATATATATTTATATATTTTTGTTTGCCTGGTTCTTTTTCTTGCAAATCCTTTGGAATTGCTGCTGGTGAGAAGCCAGTGAAACACGCTTCCCCACACCAGCGGCCGAACGCTCCCTCCCTGTGCCCCAGGGACCCTCATCTGTTCCTCTTGCTGACTCCATCGCCCAGCTCCAGCTCAGATGAGAGCGGAGAACCACGGCTCCCCGTCCCCAGTCTGCCGGGGCCATCCGCCTCCTCTCCTTCTCCAGGCGAAGGGGTGTCCTTGCAGAAGTCCGTCACCCAGGAGGGCATTGAGAGGAAGCCCCGCGGGTCAACGGTGTAGAAGGGCTTGGCGTGGTGGGCAGAGGGACGGCGGGGCGAGAGGCTGGCGTGAAGGCTGCTGGTGCTGCTGCACTTCTTCACCAGCGTCAGCCCTGGTGGCGGGGGCGAGAACAGGGAGGTCAGCGAGAGGCTGCTGAGGGTCTCCGAGGGCTCGCTGTTGTTGCCACCCCCCCGCAGGCTGCTGCCCACCCCCTCCTCATCCGAGGGGTCCATGGAGTCATGGTGGGTGCAGCCAGGGCTGGTGCTCCCGCCGCTGCTGTGGCTGCGCTGGTGGCGGCAGATGCTTCGCAGGCTGAAGAGCCCCCGGCCCCGCAGGCTCCGGTGACGGGAGGCAGGGGAGAGGGGGGCTGCCAGGGGTCTTTGACTGGTGGCAGCTGGCACGGGGCACAGAGCCACCGGGAGGTCCAGGGTGCACTGGGGAGAGTCGCTGAGGTTGAGGCTGTCCTCCAGTGTGGTCTGCAGGCTGCCTGCGGAGCTGCTGCTGTGGCTGTCCAGCGAGGTGTCGCTCTCGGGGGCCTGGGGAGAAGGAGCGCAAATCATAGCTCTCAGGAAAGGTATGGGCAAAGAGACTTGGCCTATTTTTTAATGATCTATATTTTATGTTATTTTATTTATGTTTTTTTTTTTTTTAGTGAAAATAAACCACGGAAAAAGGGGAAAAAATCCAATTCCTCTCTCACTTTCCTCTGTTGGGAGGGCACCTATAAACTACCTGACCAATGCTGCAAAGCACAAGCTCTGCAGCATGCCCAGAGGATTCCCTTCTGGAGTACGAAAAAGGTTTCAATACTTTGAGCTCTGATTTCATTCTGCTCAAGGATGAATCTTCCCCTCCCATGTGAAATGCTCTTCCAAAGGGAAGGAGTGCTGGGTCTGTGAGTTCTGCAGCCCCTGCTGCTAGGCTGGCTGTGACCACAGGTGGTCCAGAAGGCAGCAGAGCTAAGGTTTCCTGTGAGTCCTCACTCCCGGCTTCCCTGTGGATCCTGCCACACAGGCTGTGGACACATCAAAGCTGGCAGGAAGTCAGGGGACTTCTGTACGCAGATCTCAGGCTTTGTATATAGACCTCCTCCCATTAAAAAATCATCAATATTTCAGAATAGAAAAGAGGCCTCATGGTTCTGACCAGCACTAGTGCAATGATGGTGTTTAGGGCAGAAAAGTGGGGTCCAAACAGCCTTTATCTCCCTGTGTCAGAGGTCAGTTAAGCTGTATTTCAGTTGCTCCTAGGAAAGTGGTACGCACTGTGAGATCCTCACTGGGACACAGCATTGGGAATGATGCACATAGGACTGGGAGCAGTCTCCTGAACCATAGCTGTTCAATACAGTCTGTATCACATAATCAGAAGTGTAGCAATTTCTCCTTTACAACAGTTCAGTACTTTTGCCCCAGGGATACACCAGCTCCAGAGCCCTTTCTGTTCTTGTTTCTGAAGTTTTGACACCACAACAATTCAGTGGTCACAGCTTGAAGCTTAAATTTATTGTTGGTGAATTTATACACATTTGCATTGTGCCAATGGTGCCTGTCACGTAGAACTGGATAGCATCTTTTAAATGTATTGTTCAGTTTGTCTGGAATAGACTGTCCCTGTACTCCTCAAGTGGGAATTGTTCCTGGAGTATTTTCCATGATCAGTACCAGGGATCTCTATTGGACTTTCATCTCTGCCTCCTCTGCTCTTCAGAGACACTCAGTTTTCCCTAAACACTTTTATTCTTCTCTCTCGTTAGCAAGAAATAGCTGCCTTTTTACAAAGAGATAGCGCTTTTCTGGGATGTAAGAGCTAAGAGGGCTGGGGAAAATAGCAAGCTCAAGGATGTGGTGTGTGGATGTGGCATGAATGTCTGTGGAGGAGGCAGGTGGGGAGAAGTCTGTTCCACCCAAAGTGTGTGATCTGGAGTCACGGAACAAAGAGGCTGTCATCTCCCTCACTCACACTGCAGCTGCTGTGCATGCAGGTGTCTGCAGCACACGTGGTGCAGGGGACCCGGGAGAGAGCTAAAAGTTGGTGTGATTTTGTCTTCATGTGGGGCTGCAGCTGTCAAACTACTTTTTGATGCAAAGCAGAAGAATATACAATTTCAGGTGGTGAGAGCTATACAACACCACTTTGCTATACAACCCTCTCTCCTCCCTAATCATCCTGCACTCTGCAGCCCACTGTGCTCCTCCAACAAGTTAGATTGAGGTTGGCCAGCCCATGACTACAGCTGCTTCTCTTCTTCCTCTCCTTCCTCTCCATTCAGTCCCCTCTATTTGGGTGTGCTGTGAAGATCAACCTTTCCTAGCAGAGGAAAGTGGAAGTCCTCACCTGATGAAGAAGTGAGCAATTCACACTCGGAGATCTCAGTGATGCCCAGGAGCCTTGCAGAGAGATCTTAGGAAGGTTGTGTGGACACGAGACTTTCTCAGGCCCTGTTTGGTTGGCAGAGACAGCTGGGTGGAAAAATTCTGGTGGTACTGGCAACACTGGGCAAGATGCACCTGCAGAGAAGGGGCTGGGAGGGACTGACAAAGTGCCAAAAGAAATGGGGGGGAAGAACAGAAACAGAAAGAAAAAGAGTAAGTTGAAGAGTCCTCCTATTTGATTTGGTGCCCGCATTGCTACAAGTGCAATGTTTGGAGGCTTTCATTAACACACACTCCTGGCCAAAAAGCCTCAGTCCAGTGTTCACTCCATGGGTCCCACTTTCTATGCAAGGACCAAAACCTACACCAGATCAGGAAGATTTAAAGCAGCTCAGAGCCATAAGGCAACAGCTCAGCTTGCCTCTCCTGTTGGTGCTCTCACAGAGAAATACTGAGCTTTAAGGCCTTGATTCCACTATGCATCACTGCTAGAGGACTTTCATCCCAGACCCTGCAAGGCAAGGTATGAAGTGAGATGTATAAACTAGTAGCTTGGGGAACCTGGAGCCAAGAGAGGCCAAAGAGTGTTCCAGGGCAGAAGTGGAACACCTCCACTAAGAGCAGACATGTATTACATGTTCCCTGAGCCTGTAGCTGAGGAACCTGGTCTCAGGGCACGGCAACATTTTACCATGCCAAGTGAGCACAGATCATCCACTTGACGTGTCAGGAGAGTCTGTCCCCACTCTTCTCTGACTGTGCGTGGGTGCAGTACTGTGAATGGGAATCAGCCCTTTCACGATACTTCACATGGGAAAGTCTGAGGGAGGATATAAGATCTAGCAGAAAAAGAAGGAACTGCTCCTCATCACATTCCTGGACGCTGGCAAACTGAAAGCTAATTCCTGGTTAGTGTATCCCCATGTCACATTGACTCCATTTCTGGCAGGGGAAAGGCAGGAGAAAAGCAGATGAGCTGAACCAACCCACACTTTCAGCAGGCCTGGAGAATGATCAGAGCTGTGCTCACCTTTGGTACTTTCGTGCTTTAGCCAAGACTGGACTGAGTTGAAAGGAGCTTTCTCCATTTCACACAGGTAACTGTCTGGGTTTGTAGAACCATCTGCACTGGATAATGGCAGCAGGCATTCCCCCACATTGCCTACTCCATTGGAGTCAGGGCTGTCCTGGCCATCCTGCTGGAAGAGATGTGAGGACAAAGCATTGTGACATTTAATGGTGGACAACCAAGCAGACTTGTCAAAGCCTCAGAAAGGGCTGATTCTGAAGATCTAGCCCTACGCTGATCCTTTGGGCTAGCTGAGATGATTAGGTTTCCAGTCCAAATCCCCTATATTTAGGTTCATTCAGGGAAAGTTACTGACAGTAGTGAAGAGACCTTTTAAGAACATGCATAATTTTTTTCTCCTCAAATGCTTCTCCACAATATGTCTTTATGGAGAAGCTCTTGAAAAGTGACCAGAATTTATATTCCTCAGCAGGCACACTTGGATGAATACAGAGCACTTCAAATGAGCACGGGCAGAAATATAGTGCATAGCTCAATATCCCCATGACTGCCTGGGGCTAACCTTCGTGTCCTTAGGGCTCAGCTGAGAAGTGCTGTGGTTGTCTGACTCATCTCCTAGAAGGATGGAAGAGGACTTGTCTGAGTTGAGAGACAATGCTTCCATTTCGGCCAGCTGGACCTGCAGGAAGGGAAAGGAGCTGTCACAGATCATGTCTGGCATCCACATTTCAAGTTGTCACATTGTTTATGGCAGGTAAGTGAGAGCCTGTAGACCTGAGATCAATTTTAGGTTATATTCCTAACATACATACATACATACATCTTTATATCTTTTCTATATATGCACACACACATATATATGTATGTATACATATGTCATATACATCAGGTACTGCCTAACCCAAATCTGGGCTGGGCAGAAAAATCCACTTTTCAGTGAAAGTTGAACATATGATCTGCAAGCATCCCACCACCACTCCATGCTCCTCTAGTGCTAGAATTGGAGGAAGGAGTCATCCTGTGTCTGTCCCAGCAATACAGCTGGCACGAGGCCCTGCAACTGAAGCTAGGCAGGGAGAAGGCTCCCTCAGGCAGGTGACATGGCAGCCTGCTCTGCTGAGGGATGAGAAGTGGGACCCCTCTCTGAAGATGCCATGGACGGCCCTGCTTAAATACAAAGGTTCTTTCATTCCAGGGATAGTCATGCCTCTTGCAGTCCATGCCAGTATCATGCTTTTCATATTCTCTTACCTTCATCACCCTCCAGCTCCCTGTGTCTTTCCTCATGTCTAACCTACCCAAGAGCTCAGCTAACACCATTTCCCATCCTGATCTCCACCCTCAAATTCACCCCTCCTGCACAGTCATGCTTGTGCTGTCTTGCTTTCTGAAACCAAATCTGGCCACTGCATCTTTCTCAGACTTGAGCCTCAGCTCTGGTCCAGTCCTATGCCTGACCTTGTTTGATCCTTTGGCCTCTTTAATACCACATATGCCCCTCTCCCATCCTCTTTCTTTCAAGCTTTCAGTTCCCCTCTACCTGACATCTTTTTTCCCCACAACGCCTGAAAAGCATATCTGTTTTTCTAGTTGCCTAAGCGGCTGCTCTGTCCCTCCTGTGCTTGGCTTTCTGTTCCACCAGTTCCCAACACCAGCACCTGACTCTCAAGAGCTATATTTGAGGTTGCCTCAGTCAGGACAGCCTGCTTCCTGGCTGTTTATCTTCTTCTCCCTTGTATTTGTGTTTGCAAGAGGCGGGTGCAGCTTTTGTGATGTAAGAGCAGGTGGAAAGTCTGGAGAGATGACTCTTTCGAGTTGGGAGTTTAGTGGCTTGTGCCAGTGCCAGAGATGGAAGAGGAAAAAGGTCTCCATTTGAGGGACAATGCACTTTGAAGAAACAGGGTGGAGAAACAGATCTGGATCTAAATACAGGGCACAAATGACATCCTTATTTGGGATATTATTCTGACACAAGAACATGGTGCTGTGAAGAGAGCCCAAAGCCAACAACTGCTGCTCAGAGAATGGGCACACTGGAGAGCCCAGACAAAGTTATGTGAATTACACAAAACAGCCACCAGTCAACAACTACTTGCATAGAGAAACACAGTCTTCATTAAGTCCCACTTAGTGTGCATACTCATCCATTACTCTCCTAAGTGCTTGTTACACCAGAACAGCCTTACAGCTGTGCTTGTAGAGACACCAGCGCGAAATGTGGTAACATCTGCAACTACCTTCTCCACCCATAAAAAAGAGTTTCAACAAAAGCCAGAATAGTCTGTTCTTCACTGAACCAGTTGTTTACAAATCCTGGCCACGCTGGGATCTACACACAAAACCACAATCAACAAAGTCATGGAGAGATAAACTACATGTGTGGAAACATGGTTCACTCACTGACAGACTCCTACCACTGGCTAAACTCACCATCAGCCACCAATACACAGATGTTTGTCAAACAGCCCAAGAGTGAAAGGATAGTGATGACAAGAAAAGAGATTAGTGGCATGAAACAAAGATGTTTAGTTCTTATAGCTTCCCTACTGAAGAATGTTTAATGTTGTGTCCATCCACTGTGCTCAGCATCTTGATGGTTTAAAGTACAAGCGAAATGGGAGTGAACATTTTTGGCCAATATGTGGTTTTTGTCACCAGAGTGATTCAGCAGGCAGCAAGCACACTATTTAATTGGAGCACACATGCACTGAATAGGACTGCATAAAAACTGTTTTGCCTATACAACTTACTGTTGATTGCTTCTGAGATAGTAAAATTCCGTCTGTGTGTATAATGCACATTTGGATACGCTGACACACCAGAGTACACTCTAATTCAATAACTACGTTCACTGCTGGTGTTAGTTCTGAAACTAGCTTAGCCTAGCTGTGACTCCATGTAGAGATTTCCTATTGGAATTTCCTCGATGTTTTTTATACTATGAAATGTTAAGAAAAGGTTGTAATCAACCATGACTTAAAATCCAGAGCTGCAGTTTTTATTCATACAACCAGAAATGAAATATATGATCAGAAACACCTATGTTTTACTACTACAGCTATTCATGCAGATACAGATAATTTCTTCTCAATTCCACATCTTTGATGCATTGAAGTATCAGTTTTGAAAAATAATTTATGGCTCTATAGCAGCCAGTGGAAAATACGATCTAAGAATAATTCTTTGGTTGTGATTATTCTGTTAAAGTCTTCACTGTGGCTGTGGGGGCTGTCTAGTTTCCTTGCTGGGAAGGTAGGAAAATCTGTTGTTGTCTTAACTCCTAGGCAGGGTACTGAAGACTATGTGAAAGGTTTTCAAATGCAGCAAACTAGTTGCAAATGACTTAACTTGGGAGTAATTATTGTGGAGTGCCTTAGAAGACCTGATTTTCTGAGAAGGTTGAGCACCAATTGCTGAACCTAAGGAAAGTGATGAAGATTGCAGTTAATTGAAACCTAGTTATTTGGCTTCGTTAATGCAGCATCCACTTGCGAAGTGTTGCAATACAGGTAAACTGCAACAATATTCTCCATTTGATGCTTTCAAAGGGACAAGCAGATAGCTGAAAGGCTGGGAAAAAATAAAGTATCAGAGCTAGGCATCTGAAGCCAAAGAAAATACTGTTTTCTTCAAACATGGACAGAATAATTTGCCAATGAGAGCTCTTTTCCAAGTTTCCTGGTTTCCTTACAAGCAATAGCAACATACCAAGTTAGCTATGGGGAAGGAGGCAGTTAAGATTGCCACTGATGTACTGATTTACTGTCAGATGAGCCACAATCATAGCACTTAAATACAATAAAATTATTGCAAAACCAAAATGAATTCTGCTACTCACCTAACTTCTCCCTGACTACTTTGCTCTAAAAAATTCAGAACCAGAAAATACTAATTGCTTAGGAAGTAGTTTTCCAAACACCGACTAACTTTAGGAACACAAGTCCAAGCCATTTGGTGGCCTGCTTTTAGCAACAACTCATTTGTCAGCTAACAGGTTCTACATCCGAAGAGACTCTCAAACTTCCTCAGTGGGACCATTTTTATTTAGTTTTCGCTCAAACTAATTAACTGTTTTCACCACACACCAATTCTTGCTCACAGACGGTGACTCTTCAACAAGGCATTTAAGCATGTGCTTAATTCATTGACCTCAACAGGGAATAAGCTAGCACATGTTTAAAATGAAGACAAAACACATGCTTGAATCTTCCACTGAATTGCCTCCAAGTGCTGTCATTGGGGTGAGATCCTTTCACTCCTTCATTCAGTAGGAGCTTGAACCTCTGCTTTTCTTGCTGAATTGAACACAACAAGAGCTGCCAGGATGCCTCCATAGTTGCTTCTCTACAGCTTAATCAGTCCCTCCTGACTCCTGTGTCCTGTCACATCTCACCTCTCCACCATGTCAAACATTCCCCTGCGGCTAAGAAGGGCAGGCCTGTGCTAGAGGCAGTATCAGCAATTCATGACAGATGACAAACACAGGTCAACAAGCTCTCTGTCTACACAATCTACAGCCAGGAGCACACATCAGATGACCTGCGGGCATGTAGGTGTGGGTGTGCAGGTCTTGGGGGGACAGTCCCCTCACGCATCCTCGCACGCAGGTTACCTCTTGCTTGTCATGGTTACACTTCTCGCACATGGCCGGCGAGGAGTAATGATGGAAGACGGAGCCCGATAGGTTATCGATGATCATTAACTCCCCGTCGAAGGAGTCCTTAATAATTAAAGAGACACTGTCCAGCCATAAGTTCTCCTAGGGGACAAGAAAGGGGGGAGGATGGGAGAGATCATTTTAAGAATGCTGAGCTTTTTGCTTCAAAGTTTCATGTGAATTTGGGGCTGGGTTCTCCACCCTGACTCATCTGGAACAGCACCTTGTTCTGCAGGTACCTGCACAGGGTCACTGGGGGAAGCATTTGCTCCTTAAGGTGTGTAAAGGTGCCAGAGTTCAATGCAAAAAAAAGGAAGGAGGGACTGTCTTCACTCACTGTCAGTGCACCACAGCACTGCTCACGCCTCCTCGCCAGCTCTGCTGGAGAGCCTCACTCTTGATCTCACATTTCTCCTGCTCTCTTCCCCTGAGCTCCCCTCTCAAATTTCCTCCTAACACACCTTTAACTGATCTGCTCCATTCCTCCTCTGCTGGCCTTCAGGTTCCTACACCATGATGACAATAAACAGGACCCACTTCTGTCACAGCCTTGTCCCCACATGATGCTACTACTCAAAAGTCTAGCAAACCTCTTACCCTGAGGTGGAAGCATCTATCTGCTACTGCTAACCCTTCAGTCATCTAGGCTGCCTAGCTTCTCCCCACAGCTACTTGCTACAGTCTGCTTGGTAAGTTCAAAGGTTTACTCACCTGTGCTGGAGAGTAACACCTCATGCACAGACGTCCTTCAGGATCTGTTTTCCCACCGCCTCCTCCTGTTCCTGCTCCTTTTCCCTGTCCTGAATTTGGGGAGCCTGACTTGCGGGAGCGGGAGCACAGCCCATGTGTAAATTCCAGCTCAATCTCAGCATCCATCTCTGCGTCCTCCTGGGCTTCCTTGTTGCTGTCATCAAGATGTTTCATGAGCACAGCTACCACCACATTGATGAGGACAAACTGGGCTGTGAGCACAAAGCTGACAAAGTACAGTGGGGAGATGAACTGCAGGTTGCTGAGGCAGCTCCGGTCATCGTGGCTGCAGTCACGCAAAGTATCCTTGAGGGGAAGTTGGGTTTGAGAGGGAACGATGGAAGGAAGGAAGGACTAAAGTAAGAATACAAACTTGGCTGCTCTTTCTGCCAAAAAACACTGATGCCCATGGAAAGAACAAGGTGAGCTTTCCTATCATTCCACACCCTCTGGGATCATAAGGTCTTCAAAGAAACTGGGATACTATCTGACCATGTGTTTTCTGCTTCAGAGTAAATAAGTACAAAAGTGTACAGAGCAAACTACTTCCAGATCATCACATGTTGCTGCCACTGTAACCCCACACGTGAACAAGAACAAAAATGAGCTATCTGGTACTGCCTTCTCTCATCCAGACTCAAAAGCACAGTATGTGATCAAAGAATTTTCCTCTCTGTATGTCCTTTGAAGGATGTAAGTTTTTTATTTTGGATTGCCCCGGTAGCTCTGCAGATGGGCCCCATGTTCACTGCATCTACATTCAGCTTCGGTAATAGGCCTTATGATAGTGGATGTTCCCTCTTAGTTTGGCCAGCCTTCTTATTCCTTCTAAGAAGAACTTGCATTATTCTCAGCCAGATGACTGGCTAGAGGACTATATGAGCCCAAGATCTGAGTTACCATGGTGGGGAGGGAGATCCTGGCCCAAGCAGGACCTTATCTAGCAACCCAGCTTCTATACTCTTTCTCTTTTCTAGCCCAAGCACTGCTGAACAGCACACATCAGAATTTCTCCTTCCCCACAGTAAGGAAATCCACATCCCTGAGGCCCAGTTACCTTCATGATTCCATTCCAGTTGTCGCCTGTGGACACCTGGAAGAGTGTGAGGAAGGCCATCCCGAAGTTCTCAAAGGTGGCATGACGGCTCATGCCCTCACAGGGGTTCTCATCATTGCATACTGAAAGGAAGGGGATAGCAGCTATCAGTGGAGGACACACTGCCAGCCCTGAGATCACTAAGAGGAACTGGGGAAGGGGACTTCAGGATTCTCACAGCCTGGAGACCTCAAGTAATGGCATCAGCACCCTGCCCAACAGTTGGTTTTTGCACAGCAATACAAAAAAGTCTCTGATGGTCCAGCCCCAGGGTCCCAGACAGAGTAACTCAGGTGCTCAGGGGTATCCTCCCAATGTGTCATTGTACTGCCTTTCTTGATCTATGTTCCATGGCAAGAGATGTAAATAAACTTTCCCTGAGTTTTTCCTGTACTCTTGAAGGCAATATCAAGGCAGGCAGTGCAGAAAAAGCAAAAGTTTAAGAATGCAAGAGAAGCCAGACACTGCCTTTGTTTTGTTAGGCCAATAACTATTTAGAGGGAAATTTGTTTTATAACAACTACGCATAAGGGAGAATAAAAGCCACCAAGTAATTCAGTGCCTTTATTGAATGAGTACTGATTTTGAGAAACCTTCGCTTCCCAGCAGGCCTGTAGCTAACACTGGAACATGGTCTGCTTGAGACTTACCCAGTTTTCCAAAGAGCTCCACTCCTAGAGCAGCGTAGATGAAAAAGAGGAGCATGAAAAGGAGTCCAAGGTTTCCCACCTGAAAGCAAATGGCACAGTCAGCCTACCCCAAAGCCTGGTTCATCTGTATAGGGAAGTGGTTTTAATCTTTCAAAGCCTGAAGAGAACAGCAGCAAATTTCCAGTGTACAAAATTCAGCCACACAATTCCTCAGCACTTGGGAAATCACCAGTGGTGGCACCTGTTGCAACTGGACTTGAAGGATGCTCTTTTCCCAGTTGCCTCCACTCCAGCACAAGCTGGCCAGGGCTGACTAAAGTGCAGTATCTGGGCCAGGTGAAGACAAGCACATTGGTGCAGGAGCACAGAAGTTGAAGCCAGTCTGGCTGAGTGAAGGACAAGCTGTAGATTACAGCACACATACATGACCTGCAGTGCTACAAGCTCCACCAAAACTGCCTAAGTCCCTTGAAGTTATGCTCATGTGAAAAGTGCAACAGAAGTGCTCCAAAGAGATAGTGACACAGGTACACCAGCTCCTGCTATGAACCAGGCAGAGCATGGTGGGGCAAGGCACCAGGTATGTGTGGAGGTTACAGCAGTGCTTTTAAAAGGAGGAGGGAGGCAGGAAGAAAGGAGGGTAAAGAGGCACTCTTGAAATGTGTGAAGAAGAGGAGAAGAGATGAGACTGGAGGAGTCAAGAAACAGAGCTTCCTTTGCAACTCATGAATAATAGGTCAAAGTCTGATTTCTGGGCTTCCAACAGCTGCTATTTGTAAACCTCCCCCACAAAGCAAGGATTGCTGCTTTGTGGTGCATAAAAGCAGCAGTGCATCAACAATATGGGCACTGTCCCCAGATTCTCTCTCTCCCAAATCACTGCTTGCCTCTGCATCTCCTGCCTCTCAGCACGTGCGGCAGTCAGGGGCAGCAGGAGGGAGTTTTGCAGGAGGCAGGCTGAACAGTAACAGAAAATGGCAGTAATGGTTAGCATACTGCTGGTGGAGCAATAGAAGGCAGAGAAAAACTGAGGACCTAAACTGAACAGTGTCTGGTCATTGTCTGAATGCATGTAGTCATTATGCCTGTGTTAGGATCATCCACTTCAGGAGTCTAATTTAGTCATTTCAACTGCTGTGCCATCCAAATTCAGGAGAAAGATAAATGACTCAGCCTAGGACCAGAGCAGGTTTCAGAGGCTTGATCTGAGGTCCCAGGTGTGTTTTTTGCCATTCTGAGAAAAACCCTTCACTGCCTGATGACTCAGTTTCTCCATCTTCATGACAGGGATATGAACATTTGCTCCTTTCTTCTTCATTCTCTGTATTTTGGGGGTAGAAGTTGGGTCTCATCATTTTAGTGCAATTATACTGCAAAGTCCTCTTACCAATGGCAAGCCAGCTCTTATTATCTGTATGCATTTATCTGGGTTGCAGAATAGACATGCCACAGACATGCAGATGCTGAATCTGGAGACCTGCTCGAGTTACAGATCCTCACCTGAGAAAAATCAGCTTTTGTGGCTCCTGGAACAGAAAAGAGCCAGGTGCAAAGGAAATGCACTGATGGAACTAATAAACATTACTGGCCCAAAGCTGCCTACTATAAGAACACCCTTAATCTCCTGTTCCTTCATTGCCCAGTGTATCTCAGCCCCCAGCTATCCTGGATGATGATATTATTATATATCCTGCATATAAATTATGTAATTATTATTTTTAGACAAAACCACAAATTATTATTGTGTAATAGAAGACCTGGGAGATGAGAGCTCAAGATTCATAAAAGATTACAGTGGTTTCCCCTTGCTTTTGCACCATGAGATTTGTCTAATTCAGACTGAGATTTATTGTCACCAACATCAGAAGTAAACTCCTTGGGTAACTCCTCATGCTGTTTTCAGATTGATTCTCAGCTCTGCATCACTCCTTGAGACTGGCACATTAACTGATAAATCAACTGACAAATGCCCGTGCATTTTGATATCATGCAATATAGCTGTTTGCTTGGGGTCTGCCAGGGGAATGGTGTGATGAATGATCAGTAGAGCCACTTGGTACCATTACTCCTTGCTTAACAATTCTCTCTCAAGGATGCAGAAGGAGGAGGACCAGTTTCCCTGGCTGTTCATCCATCACAGAGGATCCTCACAGTGGGCTTGAAGCCTGTGTAAAGCACCATGTCAGCATCTCATTCAGGAACAGCTGCCGCTCACAGCTCATGAAATCCTTCTGTCTAGCTGTCTTGCAGTAGACACTTAACTGCCGGCTGCGTGAGCCACAACAGAGCGCGTCACTGCTTCTCATACATGAGAGGCTCAGAAACACAAAGGGATCCAGGAGGATAAAGGAAGAAAGTAGAAAGGCAGAGGCATTGGCTAAGAAAAGGAGTGACAGGAGTGCGAATGAAAGAGAGGGAAGGAAAGGGAGCACATGCGGGAAGGGGACAGAGGGGCAGAAATACAAAGACATCTTTTCCTCCTGAAATGGCTGCCAGACACTCTTCCCTTTTTATGGAGAGGAGAAAGAGAGGCTGGGGCCTAGCCACAAACACTTAGACACTAGCTACATGTGATGGGAAAAACAAAATCTGCCCTTAACCAGGAATCAAGCTTTATATCATTCACCCACTGGAGAACAGAGGAGAGGTGAGCTGTACCCGTGTTTGACATGATAACCTGGACAACACCTATCTGAAGAGAGATGTATCTCCATGAACAACATAAAAACTTGGACAAACAACCTTCAGGCAGTTGCCCTGCACAACACAGTAGACACCACCTCTGAGCCTCCACAAGAATCAACCCTTCTGAAGAAGGGTGCAGAAAATGAGAGTCTTTAGGAGAGCTGGTCTGTTTTACCTGTGGCAGGGCTTGAACAACCGTATCCAGCAGTGCTCGCATTCCTGTGGCCATCTTCAGTAGCTTCAGGACTGCCACAACAAGAACAAGGCAAGTGTCACTCAGACTGAGCTCAGGAGATCCATCCTTTGTGTGACTTACTCATAACACACTGTCTTCCCTTGCCCTAGAATAAGCTGATTGTACTCCTTTATCTCCTTTCTCCCTTCTTTTGACTCTACACCCCTGGTGGTTCTTTCTCCTCCAGTCCACCTTTCTTACCAATTGCTGTTTCTTCTGCCCACGCCTATCGGGCTTCCTTTGCTTTACCCACAGTCTGGTCAAGAGCCCTCTATTTTACAGAAGTATCTATCACACAGTTCTCCCTCTGCGCTGATTTCATCACTTTCTCTTCTACCAGCTATCAACTGTTAAGGAAGCTTAGCACACCTTTAACACCACCAGGAAGATTCTGTTCCCTCCCTTAGCAAACTTCAATCTGCTTGGTGACCCCTTGTCCAAACACCACTTCCATACTTGCCCCATAAAAGAACAACAGCGAAAGTTCAGCTCTCATGTAATCTGCTCACCCTCCTGGTCATTCAAGTCCTGTTAAAACCACTGCCTCTAAATGCCTGGCTAAGGGAAATCAGAAAGCTTTAGCCTCTAGGCAGTCCTTTGCCACATCCCCTGCCTGTCTCCCTCCAAGGGCTAGAGGTAGGGCGAGCCCGGACTCTACAGCCACTGTTCAATGAGTCATGACACCAAGTCCCACTCCACAGCCACCTACACCCCTGCCTCTGGCCAATGTCTTTCTCACCCCGTGCGATACGCAGCACCCTCATGATCCGGATGATAGTGGGGTTAATTGGGAGAGCAGCATTGATTTCAATCTCTTCCAGTGTGATGCCCATGACAGATAGCAGCACAATGGCCAGATCTAGCTGGTTCCACCTTAAGAAATAAAAATTAAGAGAATAAAGGAAGATGGAGCTTTTCCATTTCTCTAAAAAAGAAAGTGAATTGTCTCCACTTCAGCCTAAATATTTCTTTACGCATGAGTTCAATGCCCCACTCTGAGTCAGCCTATACAGGCTTTTGCAGACAAACAGAGATTCACTTTGCACACTCCATGAGCAGCCAGAGGCAAGCCAGCCTGATCTGAAAGCATGGAGCTGTGTTACTATGGTGCTATGCTTTGACTAATGGGCTCAGCTTTTTACAGCCTTACTACCTCGAATCAGCTTCCTTATATATGTTCCGCTTCAGCATGCTCCCAGTTTGCCTCAAGCTCAGGAAAAAAAGGCTCTCTCTAACCCCACCTCCTTTGCTTTCTAGCCTAACCAGCAGGTGCCAACCAAAAGGCAATTTTTGGATAACTCTTACTATCGCCTATTCAATGCAGCTCATGGGGGCTGACGCTAGGTCCATGCTGTGCAGAACTGAGAGGCAGTCAGGGCACTTATTCCAACTCACACTCCAGATAGGGCTCCAGCCCCAAAGCCACCGCAAACCCAGTTGTCCCACAGCCTCAGTTGACATAAGCCTCTGCTCACCTGTCTTTGAAGAATCGCCGCAGACCGAATGCCACCAGCTTGAGAACTGCCTCGAAGACAAAGACAGTGGTGAACAGGTAGTTGCAGTACTTGAGGGCGGTCTCCAGGGACTGCCAACAGAAAGACAGGGAAAAGAATAAGGCAAAAGCAACATCAAGCACGTAACTTCTGGAAGGACTCTCCTGAGTGCCAGGAATTCATTAAGAGATGGGGAAGCTGTCCCATGCCTCCCACCTATTTGAATGTGGAGGTTGCCAACTAAGGGCAACTGCTAGCTGTCTCCTCTGCCCCATGTTGTTCTCAGGATCTGTTCTTGGTCCTTTCTCCTGTACCACTCAGCGTAATAGGGAGGAGGAAGCTATTGCCAGGGGAATCCACCAAGTACCATCAGCATCCTCTGCCATTAGTTCATGCCAACTGGATGACACCATGTTAACAGCACTGGCATAGCTATCAACCAAGAGTGAGGCACAAAGATTACTCCAGTTGTGGACACATGTCATCTCTGATGGGAGGAAACCCCTCTGTGCCTTGGTCTGCGGCAGGTATATGTCCTATCTCTTAGCTGTCGGGCTTCTGGTTCTTGTATGTGCTGCCCCTTCTCCGCTACCAAGGACCAGTGTGAGCAGTGGGCAGCATTTGGTGGCACTTTCTACTAGAAGGGTTCGAAGCACCTTGGGAAGATTCCTTAGCAGAGACTGACAGGAGGCTGGCATGGCTGGACCTGCATTCCAGGGAAAAGAGCTGAGGAGTAATGAAAAGGAGTGACTTGCTCAGAAACAGAAGCCTGATGTGAGGATGACAACAGATAAAGGTTGAGAGTTCCTGCAGAGGAAAACTGGGCACCATCAAGGGCAAGATAAAAGCTGGGCAGTTGGGCAAGATGGGCAAGAAACAGAGGAGCCTGGCAGTAGATTTGAATGAGGACAGGCAGATTCAGTTCTTGATCAAAGCCTGAACTAACTTGGATAGCACCTGCTCGCACATGAGAATTGTCACCTAAACCAAGGGTCTCCTGAAGCAAAAACTTAAATACCACTGGACAGATAGCATGATGAATACTTTGTCTACATATTGAGGCAGAAATCTCCTTTGACATGTACAGAATACATTCTTTTTCCATCAAAGGCATCTATATCTTTGCCAGGAACACTGGGAGGTACATGGTCTTCCCCAGCCAAAAAAGAACAACATTTATTTGGCCTTCAAGGCTCTTTACTGAGCATCACGCCCTGCAGCTGAAAGAAGCTCTGCTCAGCACTTTGGTCCTGCAGCTTGTCTTATGGAACAAAGGTGGCTTGGTGAAGACATCTCATCCCATGACACACAACCAGCCACTCTAGTACCCTCAGCTCAGGCCGTATGGTACCAACGTTTGGAAATCTGATGCAAAACCTGGAGCTCCCAGGACACTGCTGCTTCCATCACTCCTCCTGTTAGAATCCAGGGAACAGAAAAAGCAGACCAGGCAGCTAAATTTGGATGACCCACATATCCCACGATAGAATACAAAGCACAGAGACTTAATTGCACCATGCTTTCCAGGGGCCAGACTCTTGCTTAGATGCCTTCTCACTATTAATTTTAATGGATAACAAGTGTCTGAGTAGGGGCTATCTTTATGAATACATATGAAACTGTTCACATAACTTGGCCTACTAGATTAAATCCTGCAACTCTTAACAGTATTTTTTAGAGGCACTCAAGTGACCTACCTATGCTGGTGGTTATCAGACAGCAGTTGCAAAACAACATAATAACTAGAGGCAGGGCTTATCTCCATGATCTCACTCACCACAGGTTGGTTGTAGTGCTCCAAGGACATAGTGACCACGTTGAGGCAGATGATGAAAGTGATGAAGATGTCCAGATAGTGGCTGGTGCAGACCGAATGAATAAGGAGGCGTATGGGGCAGTAGGTAGCATAGTACGGCAAACGCTGCGCCTCTTCAGTGGAAAGAGGGAGATGGGCAGAGTTAGGAAGAAATTGGAAGAAAGAGAGAAACACTGATGAGGGGGCAGGCATAAGAGTGGTAATAGGTGTTGAAAGGAAAGGGAATAAAGGTGGGATAGAGAAAGAACAGAAAAGGACAGGTAAAATATAGGGGACACAGGAAGAAGGGAAAAAAACTCAAAAAAAAAAAAGAAAAGTAGAAGTGGGGAAAAAGAAGTCAAAAAAGGACAAGGAAAGGAATGCTAGAAGGAAAATCTGTTAGTCTATGTTCGTGGGAATGGTGCTAAATCAGCATTTCATGTCTTGACAAATTAAGATCACAAATGACAAAAGGGAGCAGATGGTTCCAGGAGAGGCCCCAGGTTCTCACAAGGAGAGGGAAAAACTGAAGCAGAGGAAGGGAAAGCATGCCCACAGGCTGTGAATGGAAGAAAAACATCAGTTTGGGGTAGTAAGGATGATTTCCAGGGGCAAGTATGCTTTTGCAATTTTTGGCTGAAGGTAATACAGAAGAGCATGGGAACACCAGGAGGAGGGATTACTTCATCACAGTGGGTCCAGGACCCAAGGAGTGACACTACAACACTGATAGAAAGAGCCAGGAACAAAACACCTCTTCTTTATATATGTGGTTAAACACAAAGGATGGTCTGTCCAGATCTTCCCCCAAACACCACCTGGGTTGTGCAGAAGCCCAGGTGGGATTATCCAAAGCTCAGGAGGTGTACCACTGCACGTATGTCCTATTTTGACAGTGCATGCCAGCATGTGCACAGGGGCATTTTTGGTACATGTTATCTCACAAGGGGCAGGGTGTTCAAATGCCAGCAGCTTCCCCAGAGTCCCAGCACTGTCAGGCACCCCTCTTCCCCAAACCGCCTTGGTGAGGTGCGTAGTGACACAGCAGTGGCAGGGGGAGGAAGGCTGAGAGCATGGCACAAGCGATGCAATTCGGAGACCAGTCCGTTGTGAAAGAAAAAGAAGAGGAGAAGGTTTTTCTTAGAAAACCTTGGCCTACGAACCGACCAAACACTTAGGCTGTGCCTTACTCCTTCGCTTCTTCTCCAGGCGGCGCAGGCGCTTCTCTTCCCGACGGCGTGCTTCCTCAGCCTCCTGGTGCTGCCGGCACTTGTGGAAGTTCTCCACCACCACCCCCACAAACATGTTAAGCACAAAGAAGCTGACAATGAGGAGGAAGGATATGAAGTAGAGGAGCATCCAGGGGTTGTTGTTGGTCACAGGCTGGAGGAGGAGGGAGAACAGAGGCAGTTAATTGGTTGGGTATGTGACTGTATGGAAACGATGGGAATGGGACCTGCCATGGTAATTAGCTGCTGGGGAGGAACTATAGAAATCAGGGGAGTGGGCTGGGAAGAGCTGGAACTACAGGCAAGGCAGCTTGTGATTGGTTGACTGGATTTTGGCATCAGCTGGCAATCGATGGAATGAGAGGGAGTCCAGGTCCCATCTCTGCGGTCCTTTCTGCATGGTCACCCGTAATTCAGACACAACCCCAGCTGTAGGCTGAGTACATCAGTATGTGTGTAAAGTATACAACCTTTACCAGTATATGGTAAAATGGGTGGCCCAGGCACTGAGAACACATTTGGCTTGAGGACAAATGTGAGACAAATTTGGCTCGAGACCACATTCATGCACCACCAAAATGGCAATGAGAATGGAACAGAAATGTCATGCAGTCTTGGAGATAAAGGAGGCCCTGACTTTGACTGGGGAAAAAAGCCTACAAAGCCAACAGTGGTGCACCTTGTCCAAAGGTTCAGAGGTAAATGGAGCGTCATACCTGAGGTTCAAGCCTGTGGTACTGCACCCCATGGCAAGTGCCTACAATGGACACTATCAAGATCACTGCATTAGCAGTAGAGGAACGGGGATGCAGTGGCATCAGCCCAATAGTCCCTGCTTTACAGGGTATTAAAATAATCATCTGTGGACCAGAAGAGAGCCAACATGCCTGGACAGGCACATGGCATTCTTGCTCGGTCATTACAAATAGATAAGGGCTTGCTGTGAGATCCAAACTCAGCAGAAGGTGAGAATTACCACAAATACCCACTTGCACAGCCACAGCTGCACTTCCCAGCATTGACCAGGCATGACCCTGACCCCTTGCAAATCAGTAAGCAAAAGATTCAGAAGGGCCATGGAAGGGACTCCTGCTTTGAGGGAGGTGTCAGAAGCAGGACATTAAAGCATGCTTCTGCCTGAGGAAAGTGAAAAAAGGTCCCTTCACAAGGAAGCCTTCGTACCTGCTGGTCAACAGCCACAGCGTCTAGTCCATTATACATAATATTGACCCAGCCATCCTTGGAAGCCAGAACAAAGAGGGACATCAGAGCCTGCAACATACAAAGAAAAGCAGATGTGGAGCAGGTGCATCTGTCAGGCTGGGAAAAAAAAATAAATCATAGGTTTACACTCTAGCACACACAGTGTTGAAATTGTCTTCCTGCCTGTGTCTCTGCACACATCAAAACCTACTTCTTCCCCCATGGAGGAAAAAGAGGGGGAACAGGAAGCCATGTGCAGGCAGACCCACCAGAGGAGAAAGGTTGTGAAGAACATCTGCTTCACAGCAGGAAGAAAAAGAAAATTAAGTTCTCTGCTGCCACCACTTTTCTGTGCAACCTGTAAGCATCATCCTGATTCCAACCCACTAGTGACACAGCTTCTGCATGGTGAGTGTGAGTGTGATGGCTTGACTTCGTGAACGAAGATTTGGGAAGGGCTTTACCTATGCTTACTACAAGCGCATTTTACTTCTGCATGGATACCCATGCTTAATAACCACTGCTCAGGGGTCAGGCTTCCCAGGCACTGCAACTGTGCCCCAAGGAGGGGTACCTATAGAAGGAAATGAACTCTGTGCTGGGTTCCCATCAGAGACAGAGGCTGTGGGCACACTCACCTGTCCCAGGTTGTCAAAGTTATATTTGTGGTGAACCCACTTGTAGTTAGCGGCCACGCAGTCAGACCGGTTGGTGATGTTCCTGATGTCGACTCCCAGGCAGTGGTAGAACTTCCCTTTGAAGAGCTGCAGCAGAGGAGAGACCCATCAGACCCTTTCTCCACAGGGTTCTCCATGCTACCTGGGATGTGCAGAGGCTCCCGAGATGTTGGGTTGGCTCCTTGGCTGCAAGCCACATGTAGCGTGACAGGTAGGGGGGACCACCAGTGCAACACAAAGCAAAGCTCAAACACTGCTAAGGAGCCAGGGCCAGCCTCATAAACCCACACCTGGCTTTTCAGCCTCCTTCACTGCCTCAGGCTAGCAGTGATTGTATACCCTTACCATCTGGCAGCCTTTAGTGCAGCCTTTTGGGGTGCAATTACAGCCACAAATCTATTCAGTCCCCAAGAGTAATCTTCCTTCTCTGCTTCCCAGTTACTGAGAGATCTGATAGGAAAAGACCTCATCTGAGGGTAAAGAACCAGAAAAAAACATCCCCTGCTTCTCAGATACCCCTTTTTCACAAAGCTGCACTGCACTGCTGTGGCTCTTCTGCCCAGGGCTCCTTTCCCCATATGGAAGGTACTGGATTGTGCATTTGTACAGATGCATCAGAGCAGACTAAGTATAGCGCATTCCCTGAGATGGAAATAACACCCACACCCTTGCTCCTCTGCAATGCAACAGCCGAAAATAAAGAGGATTAAACAAAAAAAAAAAAATTAAACAAAAGGTTGTGGGTGGATTTAGGGCTCGGAGTGAGGGAGAGGAACGGAGCTGACTGATGGCAGGGTTCATGCAAGCAGGTACTGAGCTGCTTGATCTTGTGGTATGACATGGATGTGCCCAGTGAGCCCTGTGCTCTGCCAGTCCTGGACTCTCCCTGTAATGCTGACCCAAACCCTGATCCAGCTCCTGCCAGGTGTAAGCTTCAACTCCTGTCTTGCAAACCCAGCAAAGCCCACACTCATTGAGTGCCTGGATGTCCCTGCCAAATGCTGCAGGGACATTATGGTGGGATACACCTCATGGAGGAGGACAGATGTAGAACATGTCCTGGTTTGCCTGTATTCCTGCTCTGCTTGGCTCCCTGTGACTGTTGTAGCATGTGGGGGTATGGGCACCCATGGTAGGGGCACAGGGGCAGTTTAATGGGTAGTAACAACCTACCTGCACGCCCAGGATGCCAAAGATGATGAAGAAAGCACAGCAAATGAGGACAATGTTTCCTATGGGCTTGAGGGAAGAAATGAGCGTCTCCACCACCAGCTTCAGGCCAGGGGCTCGGCTGATAACTCTGGAAGGGAAGGATAGGAAGGGATGACAGAGGGACAGGGCAGGGATGTTTGGCCTAAGCTAAACATTTTGAGCAGCAGAAATGGACCTCTTTCTCCCTGTCCAGTGACCCATTATGGGGATCACTCTCCTGTGACCAAAAAGCCTCTTCTGTGCCATGGTTGTCTGATTAGGTACCTCCAAGGCTAGAGCCATAAGGGGAACCTCCCTGAGGTTTATGGCTTGTCAAAGACCACCCTTTGCTGGGCACAGCTGGAGCTGACTCTGAGACCCTTCTGGGGAGGGCTGGTGGGAACAAGGGGGCTGAGCAGGGCTTAGTGGGGCTCTGACCGGAGGGGACGCAAAGTACGCAGCAGCCGGAGGACTCGCAGCACCCCCAGGATTTTGGCTCCGCCAGCAGAGGCCACTGAGACCACAATGTCAATGAGAGACACGAAGACCAAGAAGCCATCCAAGATGTTCCAGCTGCTGCGGAGGTAAGCCTGATCCCCAAAATACAGGCCTAGAGAGACTACCTGTAAGAGAAGGGAGAAGAGAGGGAGTTAAATGGCTCCTCTCCATGTTACCCTGATAGAGGGCCACTGTAGAGAGAGGGGGAGGATGGAGAACAGTTATCAACTCCACGTGACACCAAAGTGTCATCTTTCATCTGGAAGGCTATGAAAGAAAATGTCTTTGGGGAAAGTGGTGGCACGTAACTCCAGAAATAATAGGGCCATGGTGTCTTCTCACCTTTCCTTTGCCTCTCTGAGGAGCAGGACACCGTAGGGAACGTGCAGAAAACTTTCCCCTGTTATACCACAGACCTGGGAGAAGTCTCCCAGATCAGAGATCACCTGGGAGGTAAAATCGAGCACCAAAACCCATACTTTGGTTCTTAAGGGGGTAGTTTGATTCTCAGGAGTTCTCAACACCAGTAAGTGCTACAGAAATCTCTGGTTTTGGGGAAAGCTGAATACCCTGTAAATTGTGGCCATAATTCAGATATGAATTTTAGGGGGTTAATTTCAGGTGCCCAGTTTTAGGACTCTTTCCCAAACACAAAAGGGGAATAACAAGTTTTCTCCATTGTTGAAAAGTATTTAGGCACCTACTGAATAATTATCTCAACTAAGAGCATGTTATTAATATAGTTGTTATTTCCCCCATTCTTGCAGGAATGGACATTTGACAACATTACAAAATCCATACCTGAAGACCAGCTATTCCTCCCATATACTAACATCCCTTTGGATTTAAAGCCTAGGATAAACATCCCTTCCACACCTGACAAGGAAGAACTCAACTCCAAGTAGTATCTGCCTTTACCAAAGCAGAGGGAAGGACTGGCACACTTAAAAAGATGGGACATTTTTAAAGTGCGCTGACCAAAGGCAAACCATGTTCCTGACACTAGGAAAAGGCTCTGAGCTGTCCATCTCCAGTAACTTACCTTCAGTGTCATTTCAGCTACAAAAATTGCTGTGAAAATGTAGTTGGACACAGTGAGAAAGATTCTCTCCTAGAAAAAACAAACAAACAGAGAAAGTCCTTAAATATGTCTTGAGTTCTTGTTACTTTGTCAGGTCCCTCCAATGAACTCAATATATTTTGCTTTCCTGGGGAGGTTCTGAAAGTTGGGGAAATAAGAGATGTGCCCTTGGCAAAGGTCAGTGATGTGCAGCTTTGAGCTCATACACCTTGGAACAGCCCTGTGCCACAGCTGGGACAGGATCCTATGCAAGTCTGCAAGAGCACAGTGGATGGGATTTGCAATGCATCCTGAACATCTGTTTTCAAGGCACTGTTTGCTAGCACTGCTTGGCCCTGACCTGCTGCAATGTCCTGGAACTCCTTCCTGAAGAGCAGCTGAGCACTGAACACTGGATTGTGTGTAAGTGCAGTGGAGTCTGGGGCTCAGCTAAGGCAGACGTGCAGAAAAAGCCACTTCGCTTGCCTGCTTGAGCTATCTCCATCTTGAGCCATAGCTCAAAAGCAGAATACATGAATGATGGCATGCCATTCCTGCAGAATGAAAGTTACTTGTGTCTTTTAGTTCCCAGTTCCTGTCCCTTTTGCCAGTCATCTCTTAATTGCAGGTGCCTGGAGGACTCACTGTCCAAGAGGGAGGGAACTAGGATTACTGTATTATAAAGTGGGTTGCCTTGTTATAAAACCCTGCAGGGGAAGCACACACTATATGATGATTAATACTTAGGCATTTGAATAGATGAAAGGGAGCTGGTCTTTATTGCTGAAGTTCTTCCAGCGGTCATAACAATGCCAGGAACACTTACAAACCTCTGTTAAATGTCGTGCTAAAAAGCTGGTTAGAGGAAAAGTTGCTCACCGTACTTCTGTGTTCAATCTGTGGTCTCTCCAGGGCAATGGTGATGCAGTTCAGGAAGATGAAGGCCAGCACAACATAGTCAAAGAGCCTGTGAGCAATGACCGTTTGGCAGAGGAGGCGAAACCTGCAAGAGAGTTCTAGTAGGCAACTGTGCCTTGGGCAGAGCAAAGTTAGGAGCTGTGAGGACAGAGAATTGAGAGGTCTGGCCAAAACTGGACTCTGACATAGCAACTTTCCTACCACCGATATTCATGTCCCTTGCCATGGCAATATCACAAGGTGGCCCACAGTCACACAGGGAGCCTGAAGCAGAGCAAGCGCAGAGCAAGGAGCTGAGCCCTCATCTATTGCACCAGTGGTTTCCTAACCACTATGGCTCTGTGCTCCTCTCTTGTCCTGTAGAGAAGAGGCTGAGTTTCATTTTTTTCTCCCAAACAGGGGAAGAAACCATGAGGCAAAGAGGCCACAGGATGAAAGCTGAGGAGAGGCAGGTAGGTTAGAAGTCATGAGGACCTCACTTCTCTCCACTCTGAAAGACACCTTTGTCCATAATCTTAGGTGTCACACAGAGCAAGGAGTTCTCCATCATGACCTGTAATTAAACATTCTTTACACACGGATGAGAATACTGTTGGCTGGGGTAGATAGACATTTTCTCCTGGTGGGGAAATTAGCAGGAAGAATCTATCCCAAGTTTCTTTTTTTCAGGCAAGAAGAATCCTAACTTTGTCCTAAAAGGTGTGATACAACCGTTGATAAGTTGGTACTGGGACTGAAAATGAAATGGAGAGACTGTTCTGGTAGCAGGGGAGGAAATATCAGTATTATGTAGTTGTTAATGATACTTTCCTTCTCCTTTTTGGGTTAATGTTAGTATTCCCTGCCTTGCTTTGCTATAAATATTTACAATTACACAAAATAAAAATGGGATGTTCCAAAGGGTGGGAAAATCACAGTGACTATTTAGGATTCTCATCCTTTCTTTCATCTACATAATCAAGGAAGAAAGCTGTTGTAGAAGTGGGGATAGAGAAGTTAAAACACAGCTTGCCCAGCTGGCAAGTTTAAAGTTGCAACCCAACATGCAGATCTGGGGATGTGGCCAGCCTGGCAATAGAATCTGCCCCATTTTTCAACCCTCTAATGGCAAAAACTGCACAAACCTGTTTTGCGGAGAGAAGAGATATATGGACCAGTCTTCCCGTAACTCACACCAGTCTGGCTTATAGACTTCCATCATCTTCCGGATGCGAAAGCACAGGGTCTGGAGAGACACAGCAGAAGCAAGTGCCACTGATTACCTTTCACATGGTAGGGAGGCTGAACTTGAAGATGGATTTGTGGTTTCCAACAGCACTGTGGTGTAACCCCAGGTTCCTTCCACCCACATACTCACATAATCTATCTCTTCATCATCCTCTCCCCGTTCCTTGCGGTTGTTCATCTTTGGGAAGATCTCTTTGGCAATACTGGGCATTTTGCCATTGCAGTCTTGATGCTCACCAGCCCCAGATGCTGCTCCCAGCTTATGGGTCACTCTGTGGCCAGATGGGACAGAGGCCAACTCCAGCAGGTCACAGGAGCCTTTGTTGTCCAGCGAGAGGGTCCGGCGGTGATGAAACACCCTTCCCGTCCTATCTGGGTCCCCATCTGCCACCCTGTGTCTTTCCCCAGACAGGAGGGATTCATGCTCAGCAGAGGGAGGTTTGTGCTTCAGGCTGTGTCCCCTGGCCAGGCTGTTCCAGCTGGAGCGACGACTCCCCCAGGCTCCACTGCAGCCCCAGGCACCATAGTAGGAACTGCGAGAGCTGGACTGTAAGACAGTAGGACGGGGTTTCAGAGACTCTGGGCACAAGGAGAGAGCATGCGATCCTATTTCAGATCACAGGCTTCTCCCTAGCCTCCTAAGCCAGGAGGTTATGATTTTTCAGCCTTTGAGGAAGTTGCATGGTGGGAATTTAGCAGCAATCATTGTAAATCTGACAATAAATCAATAATGAGTTAGCAATGTTGTTGACCACGATTACTTTATAGCACCATCTGTGTGCAAAGCGCTTTGGGGGAAGGTAAATAACAAAGGCAAAGGCCAGGTGCCTGATGTTGTTACACCTGCACAGAGCAAGACTAAAGCTCTCCGAAAATCTCATTGGCAGCTTTTTACACTGCCCTGGGGTAAAGGATAACGCAAGGTACAGGGTGATGGATAATCTGACATACTGCCTTTGAGTTCAGTCTTAGCAAAAGGAAGAAACAAGAGAAACAGGCTTGTTGGTTACAGTCCAGTCCAACCACATCAGTAACTTATCATGTAGTATGTGGCTGCCAGCTCTCCCTGTTTAGAAATAACAGGGGTATGAATCCTCTGAGCACTGATGCAACCCCCAAAGCTGTGTGTTTTAGCGGAAAGCCCAGAAGCTGATGTTACAAAGTGGGTAAGTCTGAGATGCATTGGCTAGACAGCCAGCAGTGCTTGGGGAAGCATTAAGGGGCAGCCGGGCCTACTACGGGGAGCTTCAATTCATGAGTTTTCTCTTCACTGTTACAAAATCTTCCATAAAACTCATATGTTGTGGGACTTGACAGTTTTGGCATCACCCAGTTATTCCTATGCCTTTAACTCACCCATGGCATCATTTTGTATCCTGTGCTCTAGGAAAACAAGGAAAGAGCAAGGGGACAAAACATGTTTCACTCTAAGAAGAAGACTCTGTCTTCTTGCTGTTCCTCCTCTCCCGCCAGAGGAATATAAAAGAGCTGAATTTCCCACACTCAATGGTATATAGGTCAGCAACCTGGAAATTAATAATCTGGAAATGTAGATAAATAATGTGACCGACCTGGCTTCCTAAAAATAGGCAATGTGCTTGTGTTTGAAGTCTACAGCAGCAGTGCAATCCTCCACAGCAATCTCCAGCTGATGGACAGAAAGACAACAGAGTGCTTGGACTTCAAAAGATGGGTACAGCACATTTCTAGTCACTCACCAAGGATCGCTGGTCGTAGGTCATTCTCCCCAGGGACATCACACTGCTCTTCCGGGAGCTGACAGCAACATGGATCTGGTCAGGCTGCAGGGAATTGCGCGAAGAGTTGGTGACATCCCCAGCAGCCAGTGGTGGGTTGGAAGAGGGCAAGGATGGGTCCAAGTGACCATTAGGTGTCACAGGAATTGCACAGAGCTTGGGATCTGAGTGGAAAGATGCAGAAAGAAGAAAGAGAGAGGAAGAAGGTGGGTTCCTCACTACCCAGTGACTGTTTTGGTGTCTAAGCTGTTTAGCATGTTAGCAGCACCTAGCAGAATATTACCTGTTTCGCATCAATCAACATGGATTCCTTCTGATTTAGGATATTGTAGCAAAAACTGAGAAGACTTTGAAGTAATCACCTCAGCCCCCCAAACTGACAGCAGCAGTCCTTGGGGACAGGCAAAGAAGCAGAGTGCTGATCAGGCAGGCTCAGGCTGATGGCCACAGCAAGAAGTCAAACCCTGGCAGCAAGAGGAAGAGTGTGTGCTTCTGCATGCCAAGAACAGACACCTGCATCTTCAGGCCTGAGCAAATACTGTCAGATTGGCCATTTAAAGCAGTTAAGCTGAGACACTGAGGAAGAGACTAAGATGTGAGGAGATCTGCAGCCATCCACGTATCGGGGTCGTCTTTAAATCCGTGCAATCATACTCTTCAACCCAGGCTATCCTACTACACTGGACCTCTTCAAATGATTCATCATTGACCTTGAAGGTCCAAGATACCTCTGAGGGGTATGTTAGGCACTGTGGATGACCATCAACATTTGTCAAGATGGGTGGAGAGGATGGGGTCCTGGATTTTAATGCCTGAAAGGACTGGAAAAATCATCTCTGTTTTGATGAAATTCACATATACTCTCCTGCACACAGTGTCACATCCATGAGTGTAGCAGCAGGCTCCATAACCACTTCCCTATATGCCCTCCTGTGGGTTTGGCTGCTTATATTCAAAGTATGCTCTGATATGGTGCAGCCATGTAACCCAGGATTGCACTGCTGTGAAAACAGCTAAGTTGCCATAAAGAGCTGTGACAAGCCAGCACTAGAGCCACTGCTCCTTGTGGGAGCTGCATTTGAGCTCAGACCTGTGTTTGTGGCCCTTCTCTGGGTTATGCTGTGAGCAGGCTTGTGCTTGTTCTTGCACCTTGCTGATCCCAATCTTGTCTTGCTGACTGGACTTTCTGGCTTGGCCTCAGACCCGCCTCACCACTGTGGACTTGCCTCGCAATCACTGAACTGCTGGCTGACCCTCACTAGTGTCAACAGATCTGCTCTGCTCACCTTGTATATGTACCGTGCCTTTGTCAGTGTGATCCCTGCCCTCCTGCCTGGCTGCCCCCACCACCTCAGCTCCTTGCTCACCATCCATCACAGAGCAAGCTACTCTTGCTGCTCCCTGCCACACAGTCCTGCATGAAGTACAATACCTCTTGCACAAAGACTTGCAGTCTTCAAGGAAAGACTTTGAGGGGTGGAGACCTTACCTGTCAGTCTGTAGGCAGGATGTTCCGACAGTTAATTATCTTTTCTTAAAAATATGTGTCTTTTTTCAGTCTGAATTTGCCTAGCTTCAGCTTCCAACCTTTACAATCTCATTATGCTTTTTCTTCTCAATTAAAGAGCCATCTACCATCAGAAATGTCTCCTTATGTTTGACACTTACAGCATGTGTGATCAAGTCACTCCTCTGGTTTCTCTAAGCTTCATTACCTCTTGCAATAAGACAAGACTTCCAGATTTGTCCGAGTCCTTTTTAAAGTGTTGGTATCCCCTATCCAAATGTGGGTCCAAGATATTGACACAAGTATTCCTTAAATGATGCCCCTGAAGCTAAGCAGGGACAGTCCTACTCCTCAACCCCTAGTTTCTGTTCTGTTGGTCATTCAGGAACTGCTCCCTTTAGCTACCACATTCTTCAGGATGCCATCACAGCTCTGTTTTTCTGCAGATAACACCACAGACTAGCATGAAGTTCAAAATGAAAACTGTAAATTCTTGGAGATTAGAGTAAATTTTCTGCACAATCTGCTTTCAGACTTCTCACTAAACAATGAGACATAAGCAAATATGGCTGTTTGAACTACTGTACCTGAGCCTTCCTCGGCCTCTTGGAACTGATCTAACTCATCCATGTTTGATGAACTCTGATCTTCATCTGAGTATGACCGGTTGGCATCGCCCTGAAACACACAAATTTAGACGTTGGGAACTAATGAACAGAAAAGACTGTTTGTTCTTGTCTTTTGTTGCTGGAACAACTGTAAAACACTCCTTGGCAGCCAGGCATCAATGTGATCATTGGAAAAAGTCTCACATGACCTGAGATGGCTGACATACTGCGCTCGTGCTTTTGGAGGGACAAAGGACTCACACTGGTAGGATAGGGTCTGTTGCACAGGGTGGAAATTGTGAGCTCTCTTCCAAAGGGCTTGTCTCTTTCCTTGCAAGAATTAATACTGTTGGTTTGGGTTGTTTTTTTTAATGAGGCCTACCCTGAACTTTACAAGGGAAATGACAGAAGTGTGATACTTTGGAAGTCCTCCACCCCAGCACCCTCAAAGGTCCTTAGTACCTCAGTACCTCTGTTTCTCCTGATGAGGGCTCAGTGGCAACTCACCTCAGCCTGGAACCCTTCCACAAGAATAGCCACCAGCAGATTGAAGAGGACGTAATTGCCAAATGTCATGAGAGCCACAAAGTAGAGGGATGCCCATGGTGAGGTGGAGGCCATGCCATTATAGAGCACAACATTCCAGTCCTCCTGGGTTAGGATCTACAACCAGGAACAGAGGCCACATAAACATGCAGGAAGAACTCAAAGGGGATTCTCAGAAAAGGACAGTGAAAGGATATGCATCAGGACGACATAGGCCCCTTAACTTCCCCATAACCATACACACACTGTCCCCTGTCACTGTCCAGCTGGGGTAGTGCCCAATAGTTTTAGCTGAGTAAAGAAGAAACAAGAGCAACTGTAAGGACAGTCATGTTCTGAGGTGATGGAGTTAAATATGGGAGTTGCTACACAGTGGTGATATTTGCAAACTGTCTCCTAGGGAAGTAGGAGCATCTCTGTCTGAGAGATATACCAGTTGGTTGGTTACAGCACGCAGTTGTTCCTCCTCCAAACATCACAGGCCAGAGGCTTTTGTGTGGCCCTTAGTGCTGTTAGGAGCAAGTGCAACACACCTCAATGAAAAAAAGCACCTCCTCATCCTCTTCACTTTGCCCTGGCTCACCCATAGAGAGAAAAGTGGGCTTACTTGGAAGACGGTGACAATGGCCCACAGCAGGGAGTCAAAATTCTTCCGATCAGGAACTGTATCTCCTGTGTCTGTCCTGAGGCTGAACTTGCAACCAAATATGTGCATTCCCAGAATGCTGTTGGGACAAGAAGTGGAGATAGTGTCAAACATAAATGCCTCTTCCATCACAACGAGCTCATCAGAGTTATTCTTTTTCCTTCCCAACAATTTAATGTAACGCCAAAAAAGTGAGGGGTAGAACAACACAGCCAGACTTTCGGGACCTATCTGTGAAGAAGGAGCTGCGTATCACACCCCTATAACTCACCAAAACCCCTTGCTTTCCACCTGTACTGCTTCAGAGCTATTCCCACTAAATTGTTCTTCAGTTCTGCTCTCTTCATCATTCTCATTTGCTTTCATTTTTCTTCATTTCCCCACCACTGCATCTGATGAACTTCCTTGGTAGCTTCCTGCCACCTTTCTGCCAGTCAGCCTCCAGTCTGAACTCTTCCTGCAGCCAGTGCTGATTACCAAGAGACTTCACCTATCCTATGATGGGACATGATGCTCAGCATGTGCATTTGGTGGCAGTATTTCTCCAACCCATCCAGGCCAAATCTTCAGCTGCTGAGCCCAATTTAGTGCAGCAGTAACCTCAGCCCTTATGAACAAATAAGTGTTTGTCACTGCTGCCTGAGCCTAGAGCAATGAACAAGATGAGTCATGCAATCATGCTCTGAAGTTGCTGTCCACATGAGCCGTGCAGTGCCCCTCCAAAACACTGTGAGGCAACTAACTACCTCCTCACCTGAATATAAAGATGAAGAGCATGAGGAGCATGCAGAAGGTGGCTACGTTGTCCATAGTCTTCATCAGCACCACAAGCTGTCGGCGCAGTGCGGGCATGAAACGCACCAGCTTCAGCACCCGCAGGAGACGGAAAGTCCTCAGCACAGAGAGCCCCCCATCTGCCTGGCCAATGATCTCCCAGATGCTATGCCCCAGAGAGGCACAAAGGAGTACAAGGAACAAAATGAAAGACAAGTGAATGAACAGAAGACAGAGAGAAAAAAACAATGCTAATCCTAGTTTTCACCTCTACATTGGCAGCAAATATAGAGGGATCAGAAGGAAAATCTGTTTGAGCAAGACAGAATTAGAAGCATATACTATAAGCATGTACTTATATATAGAAAGCTGCATTTCTCCCTTCAGATGAACATGGCACTGCATGTTACAGGAGTGAGGAAGGGACTGCAGCATTAAATTCCAGAAAGACAGGTTCTTCTATCACACATTAAACGTTTTTTTAATATCTCACAGCTAATATTTGTTGTGGATTTACAAGGCAATCACAATTGCCTCCATTCTACAGAGGAGAGAACTGAGGGGCAGAAATGCTATGGGCTTGCCTAGGGTGATTCACCAAATATTGGGAAAAGACATCTTGTTCTCCCTATTCCTGGTCTTGTGCATCAGTTCAGCTCCTCCTAGTATAGGTGCTAAATCCTTTTGAAAAGGCACATGGAAATGTGCAAGCTCTTTGGAATTCTTTTCTATGAATATTTCAGTTGATCCCCATGGCCCTTGTCACCTGATGATGACGATGATACTGTCAAAGATGTTGTAGGGGTTGCGGAGGTAATCAAAGAGACCAAAAGCAGCAAGTTTCAGGATCATCTCCAGGGCAAACATGCTCGTGAAGACAACGTTGCTGATCTCCAAGATGTTGGTCAATTCCTCTGGCTGGACAAAAAGCAAATTCAGAGAGTCAGAACTGAAAGAACCCTGAAATTATGGGAAATAAAGTGCCACCCTTCCCAGGGGACAGGCTTCGTAGGGAGCTGTGAGGCTTCCATGGGTGAGATTAGAGCTGGATAGAACCACTTGCACACCAAATCCTTTGCACATTTACTACCTTCATCCTAGATTACGTATCTAACAAATTCTTTCACTACAGATGGTCAGGAGCCCCACAGCCATTTACACAGACAAAGCTGACCAAGTGTCTCCCACATCCCACTGCACACCCAGCTAAAGGCTGCTTTATTTGTGCAAAGAATTTGAGTGTTTTTCTTAAGCAGGGCAAAAGTGCTGATCTGTGGGCCCCTCTTTCTTCAAGGACTTCTTCCTCTGAGGTTTCCACATGCAGCTAGAACATTCTTTTGCTGTCATTCTGAAAATGTTTGAATGATAGGAAAACAGTTCCCCATCTTCCTCTAAATCTCACTGCACTTCTCCACCCCTTTTCCCTCTATTTTTGTCTTTATCATTTTTCTTTCCCCCACTTCCCACTAAATCCTTCATATACATTAGTTCTCTGTTCTTGCTCCAGCAGCCTTTTCTCATGCCTCTATCCTTAAAGTAGTCTCAATAATTACCTGTCTATAAGGGAGAGGAAGAGCAGGAAAGAGTGAGAAAAAGAGAAAAATGAACTCCAGGAAAAAAAAAGGAAAATAGGAAAAAAAAAAAAGAAGGCAATCTGACCCTTCTTTCAGCCCCAGTGATACAGCTTTCTCCAGCAGAGACCGATGTGTTTGTGCATATGAAAGAAAGTGTTTTAATGACTCCATCAGTGGAACAAGTCTGAGCAAATTAAATTACTCCTCCTTTTGTTTTCTGAATTAATGAGTTTTTCTTCAGTGTGTGCAGCCTTGGAAACTTCCCTAACAAGGTCAGGAATGGGTCTAGACTGTTTCCTCAGGAATGAAATGTTGCTCCAGAGGGAAACAGAGGCTGCACTGATATCTTTGATGAGGGATGTCAGGATCTTGCCATCGCTGTGAAACAGAGGTAGACTGAATTTGGAATGGACTCACCTGCTCAAAGCACTTCTCACCCAGGGACTAGGACTGCACCAGGCCAAACAGTGAGGGCTGAGGTCTTGAACAAGTGAGAGAAAAACTTCCTCCCAGTATAATGGGTTGCATCTTGGAGCCAAGCTAGGCAAACCATGGTCTTCCGACTGCATGAGACTGCTAGGGCAATTAACTTGATGCTGGACATCACCTTCCCAAGCAGCACCTGAGGGGGACCTGCTCCAGATGAAGGTGTGCCATCTTCCCAAGCAGAGGAACAAGGTATGGCAGCTCCAAGGCACTTCTTCAGGGCTCCTCTGGCCAAAATTTCCATGTTTACCTTGAAGTAGTTATGTCATACCTCAGACAAGTTTACATATTTGATGTTTAATGTACTGTGCCAATGAGCCCCAGCTCCAAGCCTTCAAGGTGGGTCTGATCCAGGCTCTATGGTAGCAGGCAGTACTGTTCTCACTGTTCAGATACCCATGCTGAAAAGGTGGTTGAAGACTTCTTACTTCCTTCATGTTGGTCTGTCTGAGTTATGTGTGGACCACTCTTTTAAGCATCACGTAAAAAGGATGGGAACAAACCTGTAAAAGCCTGGTGTTTGGGGCAAGAGAGGACACACATTCCTGGCACTGCAGAAATGAAAAATCAGTCCCTGCAGGTCAGAACCAGCACTTTTACCATGAGCTCGTTATTAGTGCCCACTAGAACAGCAGTCATGGTCTCTACCTGAGGACTGCAAAATTGCTGTTTTACTGAAGAGCAGCCTTTGTGTTGGCTGTACCCGTTACTCATCTGTTGGAAGGTGAAGTGAGAAAGGAATGTAGCTCTCGGCCTGACCCTCCCCCTGAAGCAGGGGGCTGTTTTAACCCCTTCTCTGGGACCCCCATGGGTCCAGATCCTCCCAGGTGAGTAAATGAACTGGAAACTGCTCCTCACTTCTGTGGCTTTCCATACCCTTTGCTGATTTCTTGCACTCCTTATTGCAGATTTTTATTGAAATACTCTATTTCTTTAAAATAAAGGAGATGGCTCAATTTCCATCCATAATTATATTTGAATAACAAAACCATCCTGAAAAGGAGGGGGGGAAGAAGGGGAAATAAGACTGAAGAGAGAGAAACAAAAAGCAAGTGCACATAAGAAGGGAGAGATGAAGATTACTTCGTGGAGAGCCAGCCAATAATGACACTTGCTGGGAACATGAGGTCCATATGCTAAACAGAGATGTCAATTTCAGCCTGAATCCAATGATTGTCAGTGAGAATGAGCAATGTATAAAAGCAACAGGCTATGATGGTGGATTATCCTCCCCTCAGCTGTCCAGACATTCTCTCTCAAGGAATTGATGTTTGAAAAGCCATGCTTGCATCTCGCTTGTGGAAAAGGTCATCTGTTCCCCTGTCTCTCCTTCCCTCCCTGACATCTGTTTCTCTAGGCAAGCCTCCACCTGTTAGTCTTTTTCTAATGGGCCATCAATCAGCCCCAGCAAAGCATACTTCCTAGAGAGAGGGGCAGGAAAGACTGAGCAGGGAAAGGAAGGAGAGATGGGCAGAGAGAAAGGCAGCGAAGGAAGAATCAAAAAACAAAGTAAAAAAAAAAAAAACAACCTTAAATAAACTCACTGGCACCCACAAGAAGTAGAGGAGAGATTTTTTTTTTATTACTTTTTTCTTTTTAATGGAGTAGGGTTTTTCCTGGAGAAGGAAGAGCAACACAAAAGGACGGAACTCAGGAAAACGAAGAGAAAAAGAGAGGACTATGTTGGAGAGGTACACTCCCTGGATAAAAGACACATTACTGCTGTTTCTGGAGATACAAATAATTCAGCACTGTGCAAAGAGCCAGAAGCTGGGAGCCAGGGCTGCAGGGCTGGGGACACCAGGGTCCGTGTCTTGTGTGGGGGTGCCCTCGCACATGAGGCACTGTGGCCATGAATGGCAGTGGACACAGCTGGTACAGGGGACTCTCTCTGGCCAGGGAAGTGTGGACTTAATGAGGCAGGCAAGTGAAAAGGGAAAAAGTGGTCTGATAGATTGGTTTACCCATCACACTAAGAGAGAAACTTGAACAAAACTGTGGGAGATGAGTATTAGGGTGAGAAGGGTGGCTCGAAGGGGAGAGAAATCACAGAGGGGAAAGCATGCCCAGAGACAGTGTTTGAACCAGGCTGGTTCAATTACTCTGCATACAGATCTCTTTCTAAATCTATGAAACTACCCAATTCTTCATGGCACAAAATCCTTCATCCCTAACAATGCAGATCAAATACTGAGCATGAAATGTATGAATCAGATCTATTTTAGAGCTCCTGCCCAGTGATCAGAAACTAGAACTGGGGCAATAGAGGGCAGCAGCTCAGCTTTTTTCCCCGTTTCAGTTTCTTACTTATATTAGAGTTCTTATGTCAGATTAGACTGAAAAAGTAATTAGTCCATTAACTGACAGGAACCAGAAACTGAAGCACTGTCAAAAAGGTTTTCATAGGGAAGTCTGCTGCTTCCCTGGGGCCGGGGTAAGGGACTTCACCAGAAAACCCACTCATCTCATTCAGCTCTGCAGCTACTACCCTTTATTAGTCTTCCAGGTGGGCAATGAGGAAATCAATTCAAGAAGCCTGAGGAGACTCAATAAGGACTCAGTGCCTTGGGGTTTACAGTTTGGGAGCTCAAGTAGTGTTCTTGTCCTTCCTGCCAGTCACCATCAGTGATAACGGTTACAACAGAAGAATCTCAGTAATTAAATACGGGCTCCGTGACTGGTGTCAGTGTCGTAACTTGGGGTTTTTTGATCAATGGCCAATCTACATGGCATCAGTCCTATGAGCAGTAGATGGGGTACGCTTGTCCCAAAGGGGGAAAAGGATTCTAGCTAACAGAGCTTATAGACAGCACTTTCAATGAGGCTAGAAAGGGAAAGGGGGCAACACTAGGCTCGCTAGACATGAGCCACAGGGTAGTGTGCCACTGTTGGAGTCCTGATCCACAGGGCAACTTAAATGCATTTATGCCAATGCCTGCAGCATGAGCAACAAAGAAGAGTTGAAAGCCATTGTGCAGCAGGGAAATCATGACATAATTGACATCACAGAAACACGATGGAATGATTTGCATGATTGGAGTGCTGCAATGGCTGGCTACAAGCTCTTCAGAAGGGATAGGCAAGGAAAAAGAGGTGGTGGGGTTGTGTTGTATGTCAGGGAGTGCATCAACTGCCTTGAACTCAGTGTTGTGAGTGAGAAGGCTGAATGTTTGTGGGTGAAGATCAGGGGGAAGGCCAATGAAGCATATCCTGGTAAGAGTCTGTTATAGACCACCCAGCCAGGATGAAGCTACAGATGAAGCGTTCTTCAAACAACTGGGAGAAGTTTCACTATCGCTTGCCTTTGTTCTCGTGGGGGACTTCAACCCGTCACTTGTCTGCTGGAAGTACAACACAGCAGAGAAGAAACAATCCAGGAGGTTCTTGGGGGGTGGGGAAGATAACTTCCTAACCAGCTGGTTAGTGAGCCAACTAAGGGAGATGCCTGGCTGGATTCGCTGTTTGCAAACAGAGAGGGACTGGCAGGTGACGTGATGTTTGGAGGCTGTCTTGAGTAAAGCAAACACAAATGATTGAATTTTCAGTCCTTAGAGAGGTCAGGAAGAAGGTGAGCAAAACCTCCACCTTATACTTCTAGAGGGCTGACTTTGGCCTGTTTAGCACATTGGTTGGCAGAACTCCTTAGGAAACGTTACTGAAGGACAAAGGGGTTCAGGAAAGCTGGACACTTCAAGAATGAAATACTTAAGGTGCAGGAGCAGATGGTCCCTATGTGCTGAAGATCAAACTGGTGGGCAAGAGACCAGCCTGAATGAACATGGAGATAGTGCTGGAACTCAGGAAAAAAATGAGAATTTATCATCCGTGGAAGAAGGGACTGTCACCCCATGAGAAGTA